TGTTCAACATAGAAGCTTCAGATTTCTTTTGTTGTTTAGCTCTGATGAAGCTCTATCCATCAGGTCCACTAGTCAGTGCCCCCACCTCTCCGGACCCCCAATTTACCTGAAAAAGGGGTATCTGGACAAACAAAAATGGTTATAACTCAGAAATTCTTCATCATAGGAGCTTCAAATGTCTTTTGTTGTTTAGCTCTGATGAAGCTCTATCCATCAGGTCCACCAATCAGTGCCCCCACACCACCATAAAGTGGACCACCAATTTATCTGAAAAAGTGGTATCTGGACATACAAAAATGGTTATTGCTCAAAAACTATTAAGCATAAGAGCTTCAAATTTTCTTTGGTTGTTTAGCTCTGATGAGGGGYTATCCATCAGGTCAACCAATGCCCCMCCCMAAAAAAGACCCCCTCCCATGCCACTACGATTTTGGGATGCACCTATAGCATGACATTTATTAGAAATAAAGACTTCTGAGTTCTGGTGCATTTCTGCGTGCGGGGGTCATTATGTTACCGCTATGCGGTRTCTAGTTTTGTATATGAATTTATATCAATAGGTAGTGAGATTTAGAAAACTGCACCAACAAGAATCTAGTCTTGGGCGCCAATTTGKCTACGGTCCGCCCTGCCGGGGGCTAAGCACCCCAAGAGGACRGATTGTAGAATTGCCCCTGGTTGTCAAGCCAGTCAATTCTCTAAGTGCATTCATTAATTTATTTCCTTTATTTATACAGGTTAGTCTCGTTCAAACACAATTGTCTCATTTGAAAGAGAGACCTTTTATACAAAAAATAAAATCAATACAATAAATAAAATACACTAACATAAAAGTTAGCAGCCCCACAAGGCACATGCTATCTTATCAGAAAATAAGTCAGTCTTGTATGAGCGTTACCYTGATGGCCAGTGTGATGTCAGCATAGGCACAAAAGCCCCCTCCCTTGTCACTGGAGCAGTGGTGGAAGCCCCCTCCTGCACAAACAGACACCATGTGGGTTCAGTTTCAGAGCCATCAGGCAACCATAACACTTAAAGCTGCTTTAATCAGAGATTTAAAACAAGTAATTTATTCCCCACGATTTTATCATTCATGACTTTTTTTAAATTCCCAGCAACATTAAACACACAAACATCTTAATGATTCTGTTCAGTTAAAATACATTAAAAACAGTAAAAAGAAAATGATTATGTGAACAAATATTAATTTTCTTTATTGCAAGAAGCCCTKTTATGTTCATGTTTATTAAATACAAGTAGGAACAGACTAATAATGAAGACCAGTAAGCCAGTAGGATAAAACTAATCATCTTTTTTTATCTGCTTTCCAAAACCTCTATCTTCTCATTACCTCCTATTAAAACACATACTGTATATACCAGAGTAAATGCATAAAATTAGCCTTGATTTCTTTGTTAAAATTGTGTTAATTGATGAAAAACAATCTTATCACCTATTCTTTAGCAGAAATTGTGTAACAGTAAATACAAAGTAAAAAACATTTTTGTTCAGTGTTATGACAAAAATGTTATGCTATGACACGGGTCCAAGTCCTTCCAAAGCAGGCCACCTGGCAAACCTCAGACTTTATTTTATTGTTCAAAAGTTTATTTCAAACATACACAGAAATAAACAAAAAGAATAACAAGAAAACAGAAATAAACATATTTCAAACAAAAATGTTTTAAAAGGAGTAGGATGAAGCAAATGCTTTAGTCTTACTCCTTTTATTCTAAATATGTTCAGTTCAGTATGATCTTTCTTTTTAAAGGAATGCCGTACTACATTCTGTGTTATCTACAACTGGTTTACGCTTTACACTCAGCCTCAAACATTTCCACTTTTCTATAGCCTGACAAAATATTGTTTTAATAATTTTCTTAAAAAGGGCCAACAGATGTGCTTCCTTTGATTTTATCATCTAAAACAGAGTTGGGCAACTTAAATGATGGAAGATACGGCAAATTTTTGTTGACACTACCAGAGGACCATTTAACACAGCAGACGTGGTGGCAGCCCTATACCAGCAGGCTTGGACAGTTTCTGGGGGAGATGTGATATGGAGCTAAATTGGGGTCATAAGTTTTGTTCAAAATAAAAAAGAAATTAAACTGAAAAAAGGAGATGTGAAAATGAAAAATAAAATTTGAAAATGAAAAACAATGCATTGCAATCTGGAAAAGTTTCAAACATCTTGTCTTTTCAGTTTCAAACTTTAATCAGTTGTTCTCTGGTGCAATTAACATTTCCTGAAACTATTGTGTGTTTTTGTTTCTGTTTGACGATGGAAGAGGGGAATATACAGCGAGTAAAATAAGCATTGAACACGTCACCATTTTTCTCAGTAAATATATTACTAGAGGTGCTAATGACATGAAATTTTCACCAGATGTCGGTAACAACCCAAGTGATC